GCATCATGAACAACGCTAAAAGGGAAGTGGAATACGAAGTGAGGGAAAAATAATCCTGAAAATTATCTAAAAGTATGTCCAGGAAAAGAAGTGCATTTCGACAAACCGGACTCCAAAATCCTTACGGCTTAACATTCTGCAGTATTTTGAACCACCCAACGTAAAACCGTCGAATCGAAATGACGATCAACAGATATCGACTAAGTTAATCTCTGGGTAAGATAACATTTCATCGATGGGTAGCGGACAGCGAGAATGCCGACAGGCAGTTGATGATCAGTCGCCTATTACTGGTACTAAGCAGAAACATAATTACCAAATATAATGGAAACATCGATCGTAGGGATGTGGTAGTAATGGGACAGTAGTGCAACTGTAAATGAAATAAGTAATGACTGAAGTAAGGCAAACAAAATGCTTACCGTGTGCAAAGAGCGATAATGAGAGATGTCGTGTTCAAATTTCGTAATGCGAGCGTAGAGTCACTCGGGAAGACCACGGAGGGGCAGAGGACACATGGGGTGGTTGGTGACCTATATATTGGGTGTTTGAAGTCGAGTGCAGTGTGCGTGCACATGTATGGACATCGGATAGCATAATAACCATACGGGTCTGAATTCGCAGGTTCAGTTGGGTTCGCTAGTTCATTCGTCTCATGAATAGAATGCCATAAACGTATGAATGTGGGGGCAATAGTAAAGGGTACAGTAAATTAAACCTGAGAGAGCACAGGTGATTACAAAAGACTGGGTAAACAGATGTGTAAGTTCAAACTGTTGTTTGACAGATTGAAGTCTTATGTTGAGATTGTGAAAAGTTTAGAACAATGAACCTTACCTTAGAAGTTCATTCGGTGAATTCTAAGGAAAACCTGTCGTGGCAGTCAGCTTACATGCTAACTGGTGTGTGCCACATGTCTCTATAAGCTGGATGTGTGATTCGAATGTGAAAATATCAGCGCTATCGGTACGGTCTCATAACTCAGCTGGTAAAGCGTGCGCTGTATAGAAGCGCAAGCAGCGTTTATGTGTGGGTGTGAGTCCCATCGAGTTTATTGAACTTTTCATAATCCCAACAAAAGATGTGGTACAGTAGTTAAATGTAGGCTATGAATACATTTGTCATTTGATAACCGGAGAGAATCACCAGGGACAGTTTACCTTATTACTCATACCGTATCATAAAGGATACACAAATAAATACAGGAGCTCTTTGATGGTTTGGAGAGCTTACATGACCAAAGGATGAATGGGCGCGTTATACTTGAGGGCATGTGTAAGGTGGAAGAGGGTTTCCGCTCCAGATAATAAATAAAGTTTGCTGTTGTTCCGTTGTAGCAAGGGCATGCAACGGTTCCGATTTAAACCAGAATAAGACAGAAATTGGGGCATGTTTCCTCCTAATGTCAAGTAAAATTAGGCTTTATTCACCTGAAGGGTAAATTTTCAGGGAGGATACCACGGATTACCAATTTAAAAGTCAATTGAAAACTGCTCTTGAGCGAGAATAGATGGATATTAACCAAGAAACAATCACAGATATTCTAAGAGGCATGGAAATAAGAGTTATCAAGCTACTCAGGCACAACAGAAGTTGTCTTTTATGTTCATCAGTCAGTATAGACACAAACTTGAGAGGGTTATGTGCTTTTGTCACAAACTGTTAAACGTCTTTTCAACTCAAATTCATACATAGAATCGTTATGTATGCGTTCCTCCGTTCGTCCATTGTCCGGTCACATGATTTTTGTATTTGTATTTGTATGACTTTTGCAAGCTGATGTATACTTACATTTCAATTGGAAGTTGCACAATGGTCGTCCCACCGGAGAAAATATAGAAGTATAGACAAATTCAATAGAGTGCTGTTTAAAAAATGTCTCCGAAGTTTGATTCATTCAAGTAAAGATTGACGTTATTCATTTATTACTCGTTCCTCGTTGGTTAAGGTCCGAGCCAGATATGGTACAGGGGAGTTCTTATAAATGTTTATTCGAGAAGGTAGATACCGATAAGAGGAATGAGTGATCGAGTGGGACCGACAAGAAGATAAGTCAAGATGCAAAGGATAGGAGGGGTTGTTTAGAATCTTATTGGCAAAGGTCACGCAAGACTTCATATGACTAATAATTAGTTCTGTGATCAATGACTCGGCAGAAATTAAAGGTGCACGGATTATTATTATAACGAGAAGGCGAGTTGGCTGGCAGAACGTGCAATGATTCAATTCAAAAACAACTGATGTATGCGTACAATTATATACAATCAATCCTTAACCGCGTGGCAGGATGATTCATGCATTATCCTGTTGGTCAATCCCTGTTGGTTATGGTCCGCACTTGGCACGTACATTGACTCTTCTTCCGCTTGTCGTTCCAACTGGTCTGACCCAATCGTAGTGCAAGATACGTTGATCCACAGCTCCGACGTTGTGGTAGTCGGTGGATATTTTTCTAGCTAGATGCGGATCTTCCATCGGGCTGTAATTATCGATTCGTTCGTTTCGAGTGGTAGTCGATATTGCTTTGCGTAGTACTTCCAGCCGCTACGTCTGCGCATCTGGTTGGATGGGCCCTTTTCTTGATCCAATCGCTAGCCGGGGCTCTCTTTGTACCACTTTCAATCACATTATCATCAATCAACGACGGATAGTTTTAAATTCCTATTTCAATAGATCGGGAAACATTCCACGGGAGCAGTAAAGTAGAACAGAGAGAACGCATTGTTTAACAAAGTAGAACAAAACTTGTTGGGGAGTGCATAATTGTCTGAGCTTCGAACGCCGAAAGGAGAGACGCCGAAGTTTTCCCATACAGTTCTGAATGTGTCGTCTTTAAGCCCTATTGGTCTATATTCATTCACCTTATGTTTTATCTACGAACTGAATTGAATTATTTTTGGAGTGTCAATAATGCATTGATTTATTCTCCCTAGCACGAAAGAAATCGTTAACATCCGTTTTGATTGGCACACTGTTTTGTATGTTCTGGTTTATTGAATCAAGTTACAGACCAGTAACAGTACTGTGCATTAAGTGTAAAGAACGGCAGTAGTTTTTAAAAAAGAGAGTGAAGTGCCCATCATGCAATAATCCCGGTGGTGTTCAGTTATGGAGAAGTAATCGGTTTCATATAAACTTTAAAGAGAAGGATAACCATTGATCAAGGTGATTTTCATTTCGATGTATCACACATTGATGATGATATCACATTGGATAAAATCTAAGATAAAATCGGCTGTCTGTCAGAGCACGTAAGCAGCCTCATACTTTTGTTTTACCTACCGCAAAACATGGTCACCGTCGTCCAGTAATGGTTAACTGGGTTAGATGTGCTTCCCCATGTGTTCCTAGATAATCTCACCGCCGTCTGTCTTTCACTCAGCGCATACTTAAACGGATCGTACGGAGACAGCATGCGTGTACCTGAGTTGGTGATTATATATATCATTCTGAACTACTGAATACACCTCTTTTGATAAAACCAAGAATTCAACTTAGGCTGCACATAGGACATAATCACTTTGGGATCTCTGCGATACTGTTGCAGCGGAATGTGCATGCAGTGCTCAAACATTAATCAGTAAAATATCTAGTAAAATGGCAGAACAACAGCTTATACTGATCAGTCAGTCAGCCCACAACAGCTGAGTAAGGAGTCTTTATAATGGAAAGTGTAGCAATGCTGAGAGGAAACGCTGAATAACAGTTAAAAAGAACTTCAACTATGAAGCAAGAACCGCATTACCACCGGAGTTGCTACAGACTGTCTCCTCTTGCAACACAAGCAGCCTTTGGAATGTTCTTTTACTGTGATGAAATCTGGACATTTTATGATACGAACCGTGGAAAGCGCATCAGAATGAACTATTTTAGGAGTGTGAGAAATACACGTGCATCATAGGCAACGAGTAATACTCTGGGAACATTTCAAAGATTTGTGAACGATTACCATTCAAAGGAAAATTCGTTAATATGAATGACATGGTTGGAAACACCAGGGTGGCGTAACACGTTTCCGTCAAGAATGCGAGCCGAGTACTTATAAGGCAGTTATAGGGCAAAATAGATAGTCTTGAAGATCTCCTCTGTGACTCAATAGTGGTTCGCAGAAACTTCGATCGACCATTTCGGACTCAATCCTGTTAGTATTTGTTGTTATTATTATTATTATATCTTATTGCAGAAAAAAAATCTAAATAGGATAACCAAATGAGTGCAACTGATCAAGTTTAGCGCAAACTATGTGTAGCGACACAAGCACTAGTCACAGAGAAAAGGTAATTTCCCGTCCCCGGAAGACACGAATACAATGAAGTTAAAGGGGGGTGGCTTGCTGGGTATTTATGAACTTTTCGTAACACGAATGAATGATACGGTATATCAACAGTGTGCAATGTAGTGAAATTCCAACTGCCAGTTATGCACTGTAGGAACACGCTCCGAACGGGATAAAAGGATACTTCAGTAATTCGCCGTAGACTGAACATTTAATTGTCAAACAGTGTATATTACTGCATCAAGTACATGGGGTAATCTTTTCGAGTGTTATTGTGCTACTAAAAGCTGTAAGGTCAGTGAAATTTTCTTTCTTTTGTTTACATGAAAAGCCCTCCCGTAAATGTTTGAACCGATATTTCTATTTGCACCAAATGGTCACTGTAGAGTAATAGGATCGACGCAACTACCCAGCTTCAGATAATAAGGGAATAAAGGTCAGCGGTGGAATCACATGATGCTGCAACGCCAGTCGAAATGTGTCACAGTGTAATCCAAGCTGTAAACCGCATACATGCAGGGTTTGAACTCACGTTGATGCCCGGTCAAGACACAGGATTCGCGAATTCGCTGTGAACTTTGCACGACTGATGTACATGCAGATAAACTTAGCATCATCCTTTTGATGCAGCTCCGAATTCCATCGTATTGAGCCTTTAACCCCATCAGTGGGATTATAAATGAGGGATGCACACTGTGCTGTAATTGACTGAAATGAGCGGAACATGTTTGTCACAAATGTTATCCTAGTTACCCTTCTTGTGCCTGGCCTATTTGCCGTATCCAATGCCATCTGGATGGAGTGGAAACAAAAGTACAATCGACAGTATGCGTCCGGAGAACAGGAAGCAACTCGCAGAACTATATGGGAGAAGACTGCTCAGCGCATTCAGGATCACAATTTACGTTACGATCTCGGACTGGAGAAGTATCAGAAGGGGCTGAACAACTTTTCCGATATGAATTTTGATGAGATTTGAGCTGCGTATTTGCCCCAGATAGTGACTCAAAAAGGTGACAACAATGGTGCAATTCCTTTTCGAAATATCAGTGGTGGTGATCTTCCGGAGTAAATTGATTGGCGTTAACGTGGATTGGTACGGGAAGTAAAAGCACAGGTAGCAAAGCAGTACTATTTTGGTTCATGAGTTTATGATAGGGTCAGTGCGCTGATTCCGGCTGGGCATTCGCCACAATTGGTGCCATTGAAGGTCAATATATGCGAAGTTTCAACCTGGCACTGACCTTCTCAGAGCAACAATTGATTGATTGCAGTTTTCCCTTCGGCAATAAAGGTTGCAAATCCGGCCACGTGTTACCAAGTTATAATTATTTGCGACAATACGGGCTGGGACAGAAAAAGGATTATCTATATATGGGTTCTGTGAGTCTTCTTATTTTACTCTTCTGTTCACAACCATAAAAAGTATTGAAATTTAATAACCAATGACCAATCACCCATGGAGGTTGACAAAACATTGAACTATATTTTTTATCAGACCTTGTTTCTATATTGCAACCAGGTACAACCAGGAAAATTTTTTCATAGATCAACCTGCATATAAGAAACACAGGTTCTGTCCGTGTGATGCAGAGAAAAGCAGCGCAATGTATTAGGGAGTCGTAGCGAACCGACTTTTTGAATTACCAAAATCCTGAACATCACCGTTGGTACCGTTAGTATTATCCTTCGTTCTGAGACTTGTTGAAATGAGAAATCTCGTTTAAAGGTCTATTATAATTAAAGTAACACTGCCTATCTGAATCGTGATACCTACCAAACTTTAGGTTCTTTTCTCCGCACCGAAAGAAGAAAAACTGTTAACGTTTCTTTAACCTCCTCAATCAGTGACGTGAAACAAACAGGCCATTTGGGGTGATCAAACGTGGTGAACGAACGCGAACAAGAAAAACAAATTAGAAGGGATATGTCAACCGCACGATACGTGGATTGATTGCGTCAAAAACTTGTGTGCGCATTGATTCGGCTGAAGGGATGTGAGAATCAGCGACTAGGCAACGCCAAACGTGTATGTGCACTGCGATCAGGTAACAGTGGTTTGTAAAACAAGATACGGTCAATTTTGTTGTTGTGTGTCGTCGTGAGATGCTTTGCAACAGATGACCCCGGGGTTTTGTAGTCGCCCGATATTCGGTTATGGTTGCATTATTATCCCAACTTACCGCACCTATTCGTCACCTATTCAACTGGCACCTGAATCCGAAACACTAAAAAACAATGGAAGAACGAAACCTGAAATTCCGTTAACCACAGAAAGTACCTGGAAGTGTAATTAGAATAACAAGAAGTTATTCAAAGTGTCAGATCCGAACAACGTTCGGAGTCTATCGAAAAATCGATGTGCCATGTGATACGTTTTATGTAAGTTGTAATTTTGAAAACACAGCAATGTCGGTACAGGTGAAAATAAGCCGAATTTTCGGTTAACGTGGGTAACCTTTATCAAGGCGATTTTACAATCGAATGAGTCAGAAACAGTTTGCCAACTAACCTCTCACGCATTGTGTGTGTGCAGGACCAAAGCAACTGCGTTTACAAGATCAGTTGCAAGGATTGCCCAGCAGAATATATTGGACAAACATGGAGACAGCTTAGAGTGAGAATCACCGAACATCAAAGGAAAGAAAAATTGAGACAAACTAATGCCAAGCAGCTCAAAAAACTCGAACGGGATTCGGCAATCGCACTTCATGCCATTGCCGATGGACATCGTATCGACTAAAAAAACACGAAAATTCTCCAACAAGTTTTCGAACAAACACCGAGCCCCTATACGCCGAGGCTTTGGCAATTAGTGCTCATCCTGGGTGTGTAAACCGAAACGACGGGGCAGGGTTTCGAGCATCTGGGCAGCGTTAACATCATTTGCCAACACTCATCCAAACGCTGATTTGACCTCAGCTAACCGCGTTCCCCCAGACAAACATTGCACAAACGGATGTGCCCAACGCCCGATCCGGATCAGTGACGTACACACAGACACGGACACAGACGTACATGCAAACACACACACACACGCAATGCGTGAGAGGTTAGATGGCAAACTGTTCCTGACTCATTGGATTGTAAAATCGCCTTGATAAAGGTTACCTACGTTAACCATTCACATGTACCGACATTGCTGTGTTTTCAAAATTACAACTTATATAAAACAAGTAGTTATATTGCTAGAATGAATGAAGTACTTCAGCTGGTAGTTAATTCCAAATGGACAGTACACCGGGCATCATTCATCGCCGAAACTCTGCCAACTCGGGACTTCACTCAGACCAATTCTATATTTCGTATTCTATAATGGCGAATATCTCCCTTTCAAAAGCTCGTCCGATTACTGGTAGCTATCGTTTATCCCGTTGGTGGGTCTCTCATATCTGATCGTTTGAAAGATTATCTTGAACTCTAGTTTTTTTGGAAAATAGAGCAGTGTTCCTACATAGAATGTATTTGATGGGTTGAGATTCGCTTTTTATCAACTTACTCTTCATGAAAAAATGGTTCGTTTTTATATGACTGCATTTCTTCAAACCATTACCTAGTCATTTTTCCACTTGGACACTCAAAAGAACTTATTCTGTAATGTGCAGTAAATATTCGTTTTCAGTTTGAAGAGATCACATCCAAACAGTGTGACAGTGTGGAAATGGGTAGTCTGTTGGGTCCCATTTTGGCAAATGTATTTTTAGGAGTGATTAAATAAAATTTAAGTGACAATATTTTCCAGTTCACATTGTACATACGTAATAAGTAATTAACGTTATATGGAAGGTATATTTATTAATTTATCAGACACTTTCACAAGTTTTTAACTCACCCGATTAACACCTCTCTTTATCTCACGCAGTAGAAACCGACAACACATTAGCGTTTCCAGACCGGTGTTACGACGTGATTAAACGGGATATTACGACACTCTTTTTACCGAATAGCACCATGGACTGGTCAATGCGTAGATCGTTACAGCTTTTTCCCCACATCTACTTTTGAGAACCCTATTCTACTGGCCAGATTCACATCCATTTGGTGCGACGCTTACATATTATATTGCGGTTTTGTGTTCTCGTCACGGAAGCACCATAATATTTCTATCTTGGCCAACAATGATATGTATGTCGATCGATCAAGATCTATTAGTGTTCTATAACAGTTGTAAGAGGTGTACCTGATGGATTCTATTGCAGCATCATGCAACGGATGTAAGCAATGACCCAAGCGTTCACCTCGCACGATCCATTGTTACCAGCGGAGCATGAAGCGATGTGATTTTTCAAGGGGAAGTGGACGAACACACAAAAGCGTAGCTGTGCTGGCAAGATGAGCAATCAAAATATGTCATGGGAATTGGGTATCTGTGACCGAGGTACGTCTCACAGCCGTCGCACTCACGCCTCAACAGGAAGTTGAGAAGTCTGAGCTGCATGTTAGTCATCCAGAAAGGTGTGAGGCTTGAAAAATAAATGAGGTCAACGAGATAGGTTGAGATTCTCGGACAACTTGAAATGATACTGAAAACCTAAAAGGATGCCGAGACACCCTGTAATTTTGCTCAGACGACATGAAATGATACGCGGATATCTTGAAACGGTATCCGGCTATTTTAAAATGATATTTGGAGGACTTAAGCCTCAAAAGGTGTACACTAACTTAAAGATGGCTGGCTCAATGGTTCTTTCTCATGCACTATGCACCAGTTCACCTGCTTTTGTGGCGACGCATGCACAGCCAGAAAAACCGTGAGCAACCACAACGGATGGTTGAACACATTCGAAAATGGTTGATGAAATTGATAACGCAATCACTGGAAACCCGGGATCATCAGTTGAAAAATGTGTACTGCCAAGAAAGCAACCAGTTAATCCCACTTCGTCTTTCAAACAACTAATACATAATTTCAATATTCTTATGATAGTATTGAGGAAACAAGTCGATGAGCAAGCAATTATTTTCGGATATTTCCAGTCATGCTCTTACATATCATATAGTGAAAAAATGGTTACATAATGATAGCCATTGGCTAATGAACTTAAATTGTGCAAACGGCTATCATTATATAACCATTTTTCCACTATATGATATGTAAGAGCATGACTAGGAATATCCGAAAGAATTGTTCGCCCATCAACTTGTTTTCTCAATGTTACATAATTGCCATAATAAACTTTTGACAATTCGTGATGCGTTGCTTATTCAATTACATCACCGGAATGTGTGCGCACAAGAGTTACGAACACTATTGAACCACTTACCGTGGAGTTCGGTTTTCACTTTCATGTTAACATCTTACGACAGTCGTTTTCTTTCGTTAATGATAGAACTGATAAAGGAGACTCAAATTTATATTTTTCAAAAATAAAACATCTAAAATAGTGACTATTTCATAGTGCAATGGCTATCACGTGTATTTTTGTAGAGGAAAGTCGCTGATTTCGAATCACCCTCTTCTAGAACTAACCCTTCTTGTCATTCAATTCGCTGTCANAAAACTGGAAAACATTAGCCTCCAGTTTTGCTCCCCTTACAGCCGATCCTTATTGCTCGTCTATCTGGCCTATCACGGATTTGAATTCAGGATTGCTAGTATAGAAGTCCTGTGTGTGTGTGTGTGTGTGTGTGTGTGCTCCCAGTGCGTCAACGAACGAACATTGAGGGTTGATCAGAATTGTCAGTGGTGAGTGCAGTCGAAGTCTGAGGGATGGTTGATCAGAACCAATAACACCATACCAATGTTCACAAATCGCTGTAATTTAAAACCAGGAGCCAAAACGCTTTTCGACCATCTCTAACGCATTACTTGGCAACTTCAGTGTCTGTGTGACATGCTATCACAAATGGAGATTGATCGCCCATTTCGGCTCAATCGAATAGCTTACGAAACATCTGATGAGCATGTGTACACCGAATGCGCAAAATTGGATTTGCCCTTGTTTAAACATTTTGGATCAACTTCGAATAATAATCATT